GCTGCCTGCTTCCATCAGGGTTTGAGAGCGGAGCCTGAGCTCTTTGCTTCCAGGCTCTGCCGTCTTCTCGTCAGCTCAGGAGTGGGCTCCCAGAGGAGGCCCCCGTGCTCCTTCTTCCTAGGACTGCATCTCTAGGAGCTGAGACACCCAGGAACTCCTCCAAGAAACTCCTGGTGGGCTAGCTGCTAGAATTTGAAAGAATGGGCCGAATGGGGCTGACTGGCTAGGAGGTCAGAATACAACACCAGCAAAAAAAAATAAAACTAAGGGTCTAAGAAAAGTAAGACCAAGGACAGGAAAACCCAGTCTCCTAAGGTGTGGAAATTGAGTTATTTAGGTAGCCTTTCTGAATTGCTGAGGGTTTATAACCCCACACCTACCCCCCTTTAAAGAGTAACAATAGCTTCAATTTACTAGTTATAGGTAGAAATCTTATAAAAATGTATTTCAGACTCCTCTGCTTCCTTAAGTGTACCAAAAAAATAGGGCTTTAACCTTCATGCTTCAAATATATCATGAAAATAATTTGGTCCAGGTACAACTCAGTGACATTCTAATGCTGATGAAGGTGTACGTATTCATTTACTCCTCCCATAAATGATTCCAGGCTAGTGTGTGGGTTTTGATACTCATGTCTGTTTTTCATTTATTTCTGTTTCTTCGCTTTTAGCTGCTGCTGCTCCTTATTTATTGTTTGTTTCCAAGGGTCTCTTTTTAATTTTTAGCTTTAGCTCATATATCAAATAAGCAACTTGAGAGTATTGTGTGTAAAACAAGAATAATTGCCTCTGAATAAGTGCCTGTGAGTTAAGTGGGTGACTTTTACTACATCAATTTTGTGACATCTAACGTGGCTTCGGAGAATCCTCGTATTGCCAGCTCCCTGAGGCCTTGTCTTCTTCTCTCGCTCCATGTCGAGGGTTGAGATCACATGGCATACCGCGGGTCTTCAGTGCAGGCCCCTTTCCTTCTGCTTCTCTAAGACCTTAGGACTTGCATCGCCATCACTTACAGAGGACAAATCATGTAAGCTGTTTCCTGAGTAGAGGTCTTGCCACTTCAGTTCCATTATAAATTTCTTGAGTGCCAGTTAATAAAGATGGACTGAGAAGTAAACAAGAGAAGATAGCGTTTCCTTCTGTTTGAAGTTGTGCTCTCATACGGTCTGGTGGAGGCCTGTGCCTCCAGTCTAGAGTGGAGTGGATGGAGTGCAGGTCTTAAGCATCACTTTTAAGAATCTGACTGGTAGGCTGCTGTCCCTCCGCGCAGAGTAAGGGAACAGAAGTTCAGATAAAGAAAGGTCAGCGTCGAAGGCTTAATGCCATGGGTGTGTGGGGGGAAATAGGACTCAAAGAGGTCTGTGGCCCATCTTGATTCTTATAAATGTCATTTCTTCAAGACCCCAGTCTCTTCAAGGGAACGAACTCTATAAAAGGGTCTCTAGAGACTGTGAAACCAAGAGACTCCCTCACTGATGGACCCTGGATTGCAGCACCAGGCCAGGATCGTCTCCCATGGCCCTGCCGAGCTGCCCCCTGGACCTACACCAGCTTATGCGTCGCCTTTCTGTTCTCCATCTCTATTCAGCTTCCCCAGCATCTCCGAGGCTTCCCTGCTCACCCTAGGCTCAGAGACATGAATGAGAGGTTGGGGTCCCATTGCCATTTGCAGATGGATCCTCAGTGCTTGGCTGAGGGGTGGGTGGGAGGAGGCGGCGGCAGCCGGGAGCCCGACCCTAGTGGATTGGTAGCTGGCCTGGGCCTAGGGTTGCTTCACTCATCTGGCACAGGCACCTCTGTCCTCAGAACTAGCAGCAGGTCTCTGGACACATCTGGAAAAGTTCAAAACTGTTTGTCTGGGTGAAGGAGGCCCTGGGGGAGGGGGTTCAAAAGCATGACATCACCTCAGCCAGGCCCAGCTTCCTTCGGGAAGAGAAGAGGGCTGGGCCGGGCTGGGCCAGATGGGATTCCCAGGAATGGATGTATTGGAGGGGAAGAAGAGGAAAGGGTGGGCAGGAAGAGTGACGTCAAGGGGGATTCCAGCGGGGCCTTGCAATGTACCTGGAGAGGATGGCTTCGGTTCTTATCACCTGCCCGCTACAGTGAATCCAACCCTTAGGGGCAGATTGCTGAGAGGGTCCTACTGAAGGACAGAAGAAGACGGAATCTGCTCCCCCGTCTATTTCATTTTGTTAAACTCACTCCCTACCTAAGCCAGACAGGAGCCCCCACTTTTCTTTCCAGAGAATGGAGGATGCCTGCTGGTCCTGGGAAGTTGGGCCCCTGAGTCAGCTAAACCTCCACGGCCCCATTGCTCCTCGCCGCGCATGAACTATGCCTTTCTTCTCTGCCCAAACCCTGGCGATGCGGGTTCTCATCTCTGAAACGGAGAGAGCGGTATTACTCTGTCCTCCTGCTCACCTGCCACCTAGTATTAAGATGACTGTTGTCCTTGCCCTTAATAGCAGTCTTCTTGCGGCAGGTTGGGGAGGGAGGCAGATATGGGGCAAGAGACTTGTCGCCATCTCTAGGGACACATTCTTGGCCCCAGATTAATTGCCTTAAAACTGAAGACGAACTTCCCTCCTGTTGCTGAGGGAAGGGAAAGGTGTCATTCGACGTTGCTTTTTTCTGGAAACCTCGGAAAAAGGCGCACCTGGCTCTCAATCGGGAACGTTTAGAGACAAGCTTTGGGGACCCCCAGGAGCCTCTCCTTGAGGATGTACTGCTGGGTGAGAGCCCTGGATCTCCAGTCCACCGCGGACATGTACAGGGTCCAAGCCAGGTGTACAGTGGAGGCCCACATACTACATGTCTAAATTCGTCAAAGTTATAAACCAAGCCAACTGACTGATAAATAAAATATCGTCTGTTCTCCATCTGGGGAAACATACCTTCATGGCCACCCGAAAGGCCAGGTTGGAATGAGACTCTCACAGTCCTGGAACTCAGTCCCACAATGTGGCTGAGCAAGAAGAGGTGGCCCTTGGTCCTAGCCCACCCCTCTTTTCTCTTCTTAACCATGATGCTGGCCCGCACCATAAGGGATCTTCCATGCATGCAAGGGTCCCTCCACCCGCACGCTTATGCTCTAAGCCTTCGCCCTGCTAAGAGCCACCCCTCGGCCGCCTCTGGGCCTGGCGGGCGCACACTCTGGTGCTGCAGCTCACCCCCCGAAGGATGGGCTGGGAGAAAAGGCCCGTGCGGGTCCTCCAGTGAGTAACACGTTCTAGGACTTCTGGCCCCCAGTGCAGATTCTGGAAGGGAGGCTCCGTCTCTGTGGGCACCGTGGTTGGAGGGCAGCGCAGGGTGGGAGGAGGGGCAGAGTGTGGGCTCTAAAGCTCAGGGTCCAGGCAGGAAGCGGCTCCTCCCTGGGTCTAAAGATGGCACTGCTGGCTGGGAACTAGGAAACATGGAAGGGCAGGCACCCTCGTGAGGATCTTCAGAGAATAACTAGATCCAGGAACATTATACCAGGGGTCCTCAAACTACGGCCCGCGGGCCACATGCAAATACAAATATGGTATTTGTTCCCGTTTTGTTTTTTTACTTCAAAATAAGATATGTGCAGTGTGCATAGGCATTTGTTCATAGTTTTTTTTTAAACTATAGTCCAGCCCTCCAGCTGTCTGAGGGACAGTGAACTGGCCCCCTGTTTAAAAAGTTTGAGGACCCCTGCATTATACTGTAGCAAGTTAACATTCATCTCACTGATTCTCCCAAGTACCCACGTAAGGAAAGAACCCTCACTTTAGAGATTTGTAAACTGAGACGCACGCGCACACACATATGAAATTGCAGAGTTACTGGCAGAGCCAAAACTAAACTCTCCGTCTGCATCTGATGAGAAATCAGGCCTGATGTTCTCCAGTTCGTCAGCTAGATTTCTAGGGCAGAGCTTCCTGAAGGAAACCTTAGGGTTGCTGGCTGCAGTTCTTCAACCAAAGGAAAGCAGAATCGGTTTAAAGGCCATGAGGGAAAGAATGCGGGGAGTTTGGGGATGGGAAAGTCTGGGAAGAAGAGAAGAAATGTAAAGGGACTGCATAGAGGATGGTATGAACGTAGTGATTGTTCCAAGAATTAATATGGTGGTGGATGGACAGTGAGAAAAAGAGAGGATATGTTAAGAAAGGAATGGAGATATATCCTCTCCACATTTTAGATCTCTATAATATTTATTCAGGTATACTTTGATATTTTAATATTTTACTTAACATGTTATGAACATAGCTTCACAAACTCATATTGCTATAGTTTTCCCATATCTTTTTATGTATAATGATTATGTATCTTCAGTGCATATGACATTTATCCTATTGTAATTCATTTTAGTTTGCAACTTTTCCCTCCTGTAGATAATCCTCCTATAGATAATACTCTACAAGCCACTGGGTGCATACAAGCTTTTCCTTCCCTATTTCCTTAGGAAAAATCTAGTCGTGGGAAATTAGTTTCCTGCCCAGGAGGATGTTCTTGTTGCTGTCGCCTTGCCATGGGTGGCAGGAGATGTTCTAACGCTTCACAAATTCGCATGTCATCCTGCGCAGGGCCCATGCTAATCTTCTCGGTATCATTCCAATTTGAGTACATGTGCTGCTGAAGCGAGCACAGGATATTCTGGATGGAAATTGAATCACACCCTGGCCAGTTCTCTCAGTGGTTAGAGCATTAGTTGAAAGACCAAAGGGTTGCTGATTTGATCCCCGGGTTGGGGCATGTGTGGGAGGCAACCAATCAATGTGTCTCTGTCACATCAATGTTTCTCTCTCACTCTCTGTCCTACTCCCTCCCCTTTCTCTCCCCCGACCCCCAACTCTCTCTAAAAATCAATGAGAAAAATATCCTTGAGTGAGGATTAACAAAAAAATATATATGTAGAAGAAGAAGGAGGAGGAGGCGGGGTGGAGGGGGAGACGAAGGAGAAATAGAAATTAAATCAGATGATATCATGAGGCTCCAAGACAATTTAGGTTCTGACTTTTCCTCCTTGTTTCCCTATAGCCTCTGCATTCACAGATACAGATAACTTGACTGCTGTTGCCACAGAGCCATCTACTACAGAAATGTTTTCAACAGTTCCTACAAATGCATCCCACCAGGAACCTCATAACACAAAGGACTCATGAAAGTACCACTCTCTACCCTGTCTCTCAGAACAGCAGTGGGACCACAGCAGCCATCTCAGGTAAAAAGTGTCTGTCTTGGGTCCCAGAGGGATGCTGCTGGTGCTTGGGTAAAGCATTAGGACATTTGCAGACCGCCCTTCCTGCCCCTGCTGACCCCCATAGAGGGAAATACAAGCTCCTATAATAATGGCTTGGGCATCTTGTTTAGGGTACCCTGAAGTAAGTTCTAGATCATTCTTCCTCCAGTGACAGCGTCCTCAGGCCAATGCCTTGGCAGCTGATCCTGATCAGTCATGCTCCTCGTACCTCTGCTCTCATGCTGAGTTGGGTTTAGTGATGAAACAGGACTAGATGAGAACTCCTTAGAGATCTCTGACCTCTCCTGACTGAAGGAAGGTGTGTACGGCTTCAAATTGGGGGTCTTTGACTTCACTGGAGTGGACCAGCATCCAGTTAAGTTTCAGAATCCTGAGGGAATTCTAATACACCTAGATTACAGCTATGGTTCCAACAGCTGGCTTGAAATGAGTTCAGTAAAGGTTAGGCCATAAAGTAACTCTTAAATCCCCAAATTCCCTCTTCTGGGTTGAAGACCATGCCAATGTCATTATCTATAAGGTCTTCACTCATGACAATGAACTGAAATGTGTGTGTGTGTGTGTGTGTGTGTGTGTGTGTGTGTGTTTATGTTTATGCAAATGTGCTCAAATGCACACTTGTGTTTTGGTCTTTTCCAGAGTCTACAGTCAACTTTACTTCTACCTCTGGGATCACGCCAGTTCCTGGAACCATGAACTCTTCTGCCCAGACACAGACCTCTTTAGCCACCATAGTGTCTTCCACCCTAATCAACTTTTCAACTTCAGAGATGACCTTGGAGCCCAGCATGTCACCTGGAAATATTTCAGACCCAACATTCAATAGCACCACTCCTGTGGCATTTACCATTGAACTCAATACCTCCTTTTCTTCTACTCCAAGTACCATCAAGGTGTGTGAATTAGGCCCAAAATGGCAGATTTCCCCCTCATTTCATATATATTTGCAAGCTCTACACTCCCCTTAACAACTTCTCATCCCAATCAGTAAGATTTGGGTCATTAAGAATTAGCATGGGCCCTGGCCAGTGTTGCATGCACTGGAAGGGTGACAGTTCAATTTCCAGTTGGGGCACATACCCAGGTTGTGGGTTCGATCCCTGATCAGGGTGTGTATGGGAGGCAACCGATGTTTCTCACATCGATGTTTCTCTCTCTCTCTCTTTCCCACCCTCCTTCCCTCTACTTTAAAATCAATAAAAAGAATTAACATGGAAAATACGCAGCCTAAATATTGCTGGAAGGGGTAGAAAGAGGGAGAGGGGTGGAGTCAGGTGGCAAGGCTGACCTGTGCCATGGGAATTGCATTTCTAAGGAGTAGAGATTAAAGGGGATTCTCTGCGATCCATCCAATCCTCGCTGTTTTTTTCTAGTACCTCTTGGTCTGGGCTTTGATTAGGGCCCCATTCTCCTGTGTACACATTCAGAAACCATCTTTCATGTAATGGGGCTGTTTTTCCCAACATGCTTAGGGCAAATACCATTTCCTCTGTGTGAGAGGGTTTGGCGGAAATGCCAGGCATAGAGAGGCAGTGAGGAATGGAACAACCAGGGATGGTGAGATCACCGGCCCTTCTCAGCCCTGGGACTAGTGACTGGCAACAGCTCTCAGCACGGAGGGTAGAAAATATGAGGCCGGGGCACCTGGGAGCGGGTGCTGCGGGACCTGCCTGGCTTCTTTTTCAAAGGAGCTAGAAAAGGAAGCTGGACAGTCCTCGGGGCCAGGAGGAAACTGAGCCTCGCCAGGATCTGCCCGGCCCCCCATTATCTGTTTGCCTATACAAGGGCAGGCAAAAGTAGGTTTACACCTGTGAGGACGCAAAACATATAATTTATTCTTGTATTATGATTCATTGTATTATTTTTGATATAACAACTGTAAACCTATTTCTGCCCACCCTGTATGGCCTGACGGCGAGTAAATCATTCACTGGAGGAAAAACAGCCCGCCCTGCCCTCTCCTATCTCTGCACAGTGCGTGCCAGTGTTTACCAAGTTTGCAAATAGCTGGTATCTGCTGGGACCGGCGGTGAGATGGAAGAAGAGAGTGAGGCTGTCATGAAGCTCTAGTCCTCTAACAAATTTTTATGTCTTTATTTTGTTTTATTTATTAAATTGATTGGGGAGACATTGGTCAACATAAACATGCAGGTTTCAGGTGTGGGTTTCTATGTTATAAGATCTGTATATTGTACCATGTGCTCACCACCCAAAGTCAAATATTCTCCCGTCACCTTATATTAGGACCCTCTTTTCCCCCCGCCCCCACCTCTCCCCTTCCCTAACGACTTTTTAAAATTCTTTTCTCTGAAAGTCTCTTAAGAGTGTACTTCACAGAAATCGAACTGGAAAAGCGGTGGGGAAGAAATGAGAGGCAAAGATGCTGGCTTATTTACTTTGTTTTAATACAGGGAGAAATCAGATGTTTCGGAGTCAAAGAAGTGAAATTGACCCTAGCTATCTGCCTGCAGCTAAATGAGACCTCCACCTGTGTAAGTCAAATCCCCACCCCTATGCCTTGCCTTCCCTCTCCTCTCCTCCCACAATTCCTTCTCAACCCCCTTAAACCATTTGTACTAGATGGACTGTGGTGGGGTCTTAGCAAGGTCAGGCTACTTCCAAAATGAGCTTTGCGTTTAGGGAGTAAGAGGCCCCATCTGGTGGACAAAGAAGACAAAGATGATTCTATTTAAATGTAGTTTTTACCTCCTCTGGTATAGTCTCTATAGTACATTTAATATATATATAGTCAGATTTAAGTTTGATTTTATATTAAGAAAGTCCTTCATGAAATATAAAATAGTCACCTAAAATATTAATTTCTTTATTATATTTATTTACATATTTACATATAACTTTAGTCCATATAGAATTTCTTTTTCTGTAATGCTGTGTTTTTCATATAACCATTTCCCAAACATTATTTCTTTCTTTGTTGATCAGAATGCCTCTTTTAGCTTATATTAAATTTTTATATGTCACAGGGCATATTTTGACAGATATTTTATTTGTTCAGTTTGTCTTTTTTTTTTTTTTTTTTTTTGCCTGTTATTTTTTTAGTTATTATACTTTTACATTACAGGACTTTTAATATTTAGCCAGGCAGGTCCTTGCTCTATGAAAAATGAAAAGTACTTTTTATTCTTTTAGAAAAAAATTTAGGAACATCTTGTCAAGATTTTTTTAATTAAAATTTTAATTGAAACTAAAATTCATATTTTTTCTGTTCTTCTCTTATACTATTCAGCATCTTGGTTTTTTAGTTTTTTAATTTTTTTCTATAGGTTTTATAGATTTCTTAAATTTATCTATAATATAGACTTATTATGTATTACAATTAGTTATTGTTGGGATATTAGAGTTCATTGAGTTTGGGATATTTATCTTGAGGTTAGCCATTTTGGTTAACTTGCTTATTAATTCCAGGAGCTTTTTAGTTTATTCTTTTCTGTTTTTAAGGTAAGTTATTATGTTACCTTCCACAATCTGTTGTTTTCCTCCTCATTTTTAGTAGTTATGCCTCTTGTTTGAGTTTCATGTCTTAGTGCATTGGTAAGAATGTACAGCGTGGTGTTCATTTTTAATGATATAGTAGACCTCCTTACTTTGTTTCAATAAACCTAGTTTCCTGACAGTAACAAGGTTCTGGGTGAAGGATGGGATGACAGGAAGAGTAGTATTTACTTACAAAAAAAAAACACCCACAAAAAAAGTTTCCTTATAAGTTAAGAATTCATTTAAAGGAATCATACATGTGATGTGAGGCATACACCGACCCGGAAAGGGCTAGGAATTGTGCTGTAGAGCGCATGAAATTACTTATTTTGTCTGTTCTAACTACTGACATCTACCTGTGATTATTAGGTGGGTAGTTCTGACTCACAGAACTTTTAAAATTATACCTTAGAGAATTAACTTA